CCACAGTGAGTCAGTATGCTGTATATTCTCACTCACTGATGCTTATTTGAAGCTCTGAGGAAGTAACACCATCATGGTGTAGCTGGACTGTTTCTTGTATATGCAGCTATTAGTGCTGCATGAAGCGGTTTATGGAATACACCACTTAAATGAGATTGTGGGTGGATGAATGGACACTTAATATGTGCAGGATGAAAAACAAACTGTGTCGACAGAAATTCATTAATTGCATAAAGCTTAAAAAATCACTTAGATATTCTGTTTACTACAAACACCAGCCCCTTTCTAAAACAAACACTTTTATTTGGCTACTGAAGAGGATAATGTATCACAAAAAATACCACAATGCAGAAAATAAAGAAATGTGTTGACCTCTTTCTGTGAAGCGTCTTGAGATAATGGACTGTATAAAGGTGTGACCATCACTGCTCTTCCCTGAAGTAAAGCCAAAAGGGTTTCTTTTCTAATTATCCCAGTATGAAAACTGGACTAGATTTCAGTGTCAATAACCCTGTTAGTGCCTGAAAGTGCTGACACGGCTCGGGTCGCATCCATCTTCATCTTCATCTTCTTCAATGACAACTGATGGCTCACTCAGCACATTTACCTGCACAGTGAAGTTAAGCTTCAGCCATAGGTTGATCTACGGGGACTTCTGTCCTGAGGAAGAATTGAATTATTGACAGAAGCATGTCTGCCTTCTCTACGCTATCTTTTCAGCTCATTACTAACATGTTGTCTCCCAGTTGATGTATTACACATCAATACAGCAAAATGTGTTAGCAACGGTGAAAACACCATCATTTTTATAGCTCTGTACCATTTGTCTATCTGATTGGAATGTTTTGTCTGTTTTTTTTAAGTTTCTTTCTTTGTCTGTTGAGGTTTTGTTTACTATCTAGCTTCCTAGCAACGCATTCATGCTTTTCAACTTCCAGTTAAGAGCCCAGAATGATTTGGCCAGTTTCAGTTTGATTGAGCTGTATACATGAAAGAGAAAATTGATGAACTGCACATAAACATACCGACAAATAAGTGAGGCTGTCTTCATACATTAAAGAGTACCATTGTTTTAAGCAAACTCTATAATGTGCAGTTCCTAGAAAACTGCATAGCTCTTTCCAGCATTGGCTTTTTTCACTACCCTGCAAGCAACCAGTGCCGTAGTTGATCTCAGTAGAGGTTGTGTTTGCAGATGTGAAGTAAGGATAGACTGACAAATCACACTAACATAAGCTAATGCACAAAACTTAAGCCTAGAACCTATCTAACAAGATTCATAGCCCATGTTTTCTTTTCATTCAATCCAGCATATGGCGATCAAGTTCCTCTTTATACTGGTGTGGTAACAGTACATATTATCGACAGTTAGCAGGTGTCAGTGTCAACATTCTCCATATCTGGGCTATTAGCTTTCAGACTCTGCAGACTGTGCATAACAGTCAAAAATGTTGTATGCACGCATGTTCCTGCAAATAAAAAGGTCTCTGTGGAGCAGATTGGTGGATTTAGTTTGCGGCGAGAGGCCTCCATTTGGAACCAAATCTGTTGTATATTTAAAGAGCGTTTTATTTTCTGAGACCAGAAATACTTTGCCACCAAATCCCTTAAGTGAATACTGCAAAGTTGTAACCCTTCAATTGAAGAGTATTTTTGTTAATTAATTGAATGACCCTGTATAATTCAACTTGACAAAATACGTGTCAAACTGAACCACCAAAGTGCTGTATTTGAATCCAGTCATATTCTCTGACTAGAGGACAGCTTAGTTAGTCAGTGTGTTGCCTGTTTCTGAACACATGCCAGCAGAGCTAAAAGAGACACATTAGTCTGTCACTTTTCAACAGTTTGCACCTGGTTTTCTAAGTGATGTTGCCTGTAGACTCAATTAAAGCTGATGAAACTCTGTGAAAGTCTGTGTTGGTTTCAACACTCTGAATTTTGACAGTGACAGTAATGAAATGCTTTTAAAGGGTTTAGATCTATCATATTTATGATAATTTTTATGATTCCCCAACTGCAGCTGCAGTCTAATTGGTTAGGTAGGGTTGGTTTCCAATGCCTAAGCTGGCTGAATGAACTAGTACAGGCCAGTTGATGTGAGGAAGAGTGAGAGAGCATTTAAAGAGAAGCATCAAAGACACAGACTGATCTCTCACTGATTTTTTTGTAAATTCTTTTCGTTCTCGGATGGTGACTAGGGGATGCAAATTGAAAGTTTCCTTTGTGAACAATCAATTACCTATTTCTCAAAAAAATAATGAGATGGAACAATCTATTATTTGGACTAACTTGGTCTGACTTTGGAGGAAAGGTGGTTGGTAATATTCAAGTGTGCGGTGTTGCTTAAACGCTTGTAAAACCTGCAGACTGACATTATTGGTCTCCATAATAGCCCCATTATCAAGTAGAGAGTCATTTCAGTCTGATGTGGTGCGGTGGGTGTTGGCGGAAAATGAATCATCCATCAACATCAGCAGCAGCAGTTTGATATAAATAAACCTAACATGCACTCTAACCTCAGACAGCTGCTTAAAATTCAAATGCAGCTTTGACTATAAGAAGTGCAAATACAAAGACAACTTTGTGTAAAACTGAATCCACAGCTTGGTCTTCACCGTACTTAGTAGACAACAGACTCCGTTGCTCTAAATAACAAGTTATAGCCCACAGACTTTTACTGGTCTTCTCTCCAACATTTTCTGCTGACTGCTCTGTTTTCTTAATAGCCAAACCAGCTTGTTCTAAACAGCAAAATATCCTGAGGCTTTTGTAAATGTAAACATTGCAGCAAATACAGTCAACAGGCTCCACAGTGTGGTCTGGAGGTAGTCGACACGTCTGCTAGTCTTCTCTTCAGACAGCAGCTTCGATCAAAAAGACTGTTTAACTGCAAGTCACCATCCAAGCAGCAGTCGTTTATCCTCAATGATGTAAAGACACTATCTATAAACCTCCTGTTTACTGATTTAGAACCAGCACCCACTCTAAAATGACTGCAGAGTACATCAGCATACATTCACCTCAAGATTGGTTTTTGAAACAGAGCTTGAGCACCTTGGGTGTCCTGTGTCCACTGGGGTCAGTCAATTATGTATCACTTTATGCGTTTGTGAATGCACTGGCTATCTAACATTAATTGAAAACAGTATATTGTCAAGCAGCTTAAAGGTGTTCGTCGAGACATTTTATAATTCCTTGGTCAATTACTATTAGTTTTTCTCATGACTGAAAATTTGTGATGTGCTGTCAAGTTTTGAGGGAAAATGTATTGTTTGTTACCCAGAAGCCACACATATTGGCAGCAGTTTAAAATAAGATAAGAAGAATGTTACTGATCCTCAAAGGGAAATTCAATAATTCATATTCAATTTACATGTTATTTTACTTGGTGATTCATTGTTTGGTTGCATCAAATAAATTGTACCTACTTAACTAGTCAGAATTTAAATTTCCACCTAATCAACATGGAAACTAGTTTCTTTGTAGCATCCTTTTGGGTATGGTATATTTCTCACCAAAAGCACAAGAATAACATAATGTGCACGGAGCTGTGCTGAAATACTGTGTATTTCAAAGCTGCTCGAGTATGGGAGCACACACTGTAGAACTTCCCTGAACTTCAGTAAAACTCTGATAAGACTGTCATGCTGTGTAAAAAATGGCCTCTAAACACTGAGGCAATGAGGCACATCAATCAAAATATTAAGAAACTACAGAACAATTTAAAGTAAATTGTCCATGGTTGAACAGTAATTACTTAACAGTAAAAATAATCACAGCCATATGCTGTTTTCAAGTTGATGTGCCCTTAAGTTCTGGTAAAAGGAGTTAACTACTTAAACACCTTTGAGACAGACACATCACTGTGACCTTAAGTGAAAAGTCTTAACCCTTTACATGTGATTATCAAAATCAATCCCTTCAAGTGTATCAATAAAAATGTCATAATTGATTGAATAATGACAGCTAGGTCAGCTGTCTCTCTCACAGGTGTTTCCATACCTTTGACAGCATCATCAAATATTTTCTTTTTCATCACACAAAGCTGACAAACAGAGCTTGGGACAAATACACTCAAACTCAGCATCAGGACAGTAATCTTCAATTCACAAAGGCACAAAAACTATTAAAAATAGATTTAAAAGATGGTGAAACATGTTGGGACTTGTTAAATGTGCTGCTTCACCCATAGTTAGAAACTTATCCTACATTCACTGCTGATGCTTAGAGAAATCTAATGCTGCATTAAGCAGTGGCTCGCCTACTTCCATGATATGGTGATACCTAAATGATCCACATTTAAGTATCACCTTAATGGTCTCAGTGCCTCAGGAGACAATGCTTCAGGGACGTAAGTGTTAGATGCTCCTTTGAATGTGACTGTTATGGGTGCAGGGCTGCAGGATATTATAGGTTCAGTCCAGGGGCCACTAGAGTGGGTGGTTGGTGGCTGGGGGGGATTTTTCACAAGATTAAACATTCTGTATTGATATTGTATCTTTACTGAATAAATGGTATTAATAAAGAGTTGATCACAGAGTAGAAAGTACACAGAGGTGTAAGACCATTACCCGACAACTTCCACAGTGGCTATTGATATTGCAGGAGGTGGTGCCCTCTGCTGGATAAATAAAGGAGCTCTATTTCACAGGTCTAATGGTAGCTCACACACACTATTGGTCTCGCGTCAGTGTGTTACAATACAGTCTGATTTCATGCAATATATCTTAATGTTTCTGGGACAAGTCTTACTTTTTTGTATCTTACATTTTGTAAACCTGCGATAGCTAAGAGATCCAGAATATGTCTATAACAAAACACTTCAACATCATTTACTTCACTGCTCTGAAACTATTTCACAGTATACCAAACATCAAATCCTCAACATAGCTTTGTCTAAACTTATAGAGTAAGTTATAAAGTGTTTTAAGGACTACTGTCTTCATTTGCTACTTCAAGAAACTGTAAAACATCAGTACAATTTGAATAAAACATTAGCATGGTAAATTTAATAAATAATCTTTGAAAACAACAGCACAGTCAATCAGACAAAAGGTAAATACTTTTCAACATATCCTTCTAGGTCTTTAACCAAAGCATCAGTTGGAACCATAAAACTGAGACTTTTTGTGTAATGCCACCGTTATACACATTTTGATCAGGAAGATACATCTATCCAATACTCATGACTGTTGTGAACAGATAAACCAATGTTATTGTCTTAAATAAACACCAGTAGGTGGCCTGCTTTGTTTATGGAACTGTCAGTCAGTGGAGCCTCTGCTGGTCTGGCTGAGGGCAGCCACTCTCTGTCTGATGAGCTGGTTCTCCTCCAGCACTTTAGAGATGGTTCTCAGAACTGCAAGCTTTGCCTGGTCAAAATAAGAGCGGGAAGAGCGAGGGATATTTAGTGCTTGAACAAAATGACTTCACAGTGACTCTTGACGATAATGGTTCTGTCCTGTTTAGCTGCCTACCTGTATTTTTCTGATTGAGACACATTGTTTTGTCATTTTTTCCCCTTGAACACAAACTTTTGTCACTTTCATTGGCCAGATTAAAACTTTCGGGAATCAATAAAATATAAATAAGTTTGACATTTACAACATAATCTAGACTCACTCCTGCTTTGTGGGGTAGAGGTGAAGGAAGGGGTGAGTTTATCCTGAAATCCAGCCCAACTGTAATATTTTGTAATGCTACTGATTTTTATTTGGCCCCAATGGATCAAAATACTACCAAGACTGTTTCTGTTTTTGTCATAAAACTGAACCAAAAGTGGGTTCTCTACTGCTTTTTACATTCAGCTTGATGTCTTCTACTCTCACTCTGTGTTCCTAACATTACAAATATACTTTGCATCTGGCTTATCACTGCAATCGATGGATCTCACCTTTTCCTTTTCATTTATTGTTGCTTTGTTGGTTGGTTGTTCAGATAAGAAGAAAAGATCTCCTCCAACAGAGTCTGATTGAAGACCAGCCCCTGTCAGGAGAAAAACTTCATGTGAAATGAGACTCCCACTGACTGTTAAAAAACTGTACATAATACACAATACAAGTTTGTGGTAGAAGATTTAGTTATTGCTTATTTATACTCCTTTTAAAATGAATTAAAATCTAAATTTCTGTGATTAGTTCATGGAAATGCACATTTCACACTTCTTCAGGAAACCTGAGAAATAAATGCTTGCAACATTTTCGGCCAAGAAGACTCTGCACAGCCAGCCTTTATGTTAGATGTGCAAAGACCATCCACATAGTGCAAGCCTGAAAACAAATAATAAATGCGGCAAATAAAAAAAAAATGTTGGTTGTAAAGAGAGCAATAAATTAGGAAAATGTGCATTTCCACAAATAAGGGGGCACTTCTTACTCCCCCTGGCCTCACTGGGTTACCGTTGACAGTTATTGACACGCACAATTCAATTTATCTCTTGATTTAACCGTTTAAAAAAACAGTTGCTAACCATCTAGCTAGCATCACTGCTAAGCTGACTAGCTTGCTACTTTAAGGTTAAATCTATTCTTAATGTACGGACTTTACCCAGATTTTCTCCTCTCAGATTCAGACTGGTCTTAGTTTTATTTTCGCTGGTTTTAAACGTCCAGCTCTTTGGTGTTTCAGCCTTCTTGGACAAACACCGTTTCTGGAGCTTTGGTAATTTGACTTTTAAGAGGAATCGCCTTTTTTCGGGGTCGTCCCCACGTTTGTTCCCGCGCCTGTCCCTGCGGCCCTGAGAAGAGGCCTCATCCCGGTCTGTCGGTGGTTCATCACTCTGAGACCCAAACTGGAACGTATAAACAGCCGTAACCGGAGATGTTTTAGTCTTTTTGGTCGACATAGTGTTCAAGGTGCGGTAGACGTCCACTTTGTTTCATCTACGTTTATAATTTCCTACTACATTAAATTTAACTGTACTTATGGTTCACGTCCAGCAGGTGGCACTGTTACCCGGGTGATGTGTGATATGTCCCTTTCTGTGACTGCATTTACAGATAACCAATAATAACCAATAAGAGCTTAAGCTAACCTTAGGCTGAAAATATTATAGTGGAAAAAAATATATACAACATTATAGGTTCAGAAAAAATATAATAGCTTAAATTTGTATCATAATGAAAACAGAAATCAAGAAAATGACTCCTCTTACTGTAGGACCAGTACACAATTTTCTTATGCATTCAGAGAAAATGTACTATTAATGGGGGTTGAGGTGGATCGGATATGTTTCCCAGCTTTATCTTTATACAGTACAACACATTAATAAGCATGTTTTTTATACCACATCTTGATTTCAAAAATTGTGTCAATAAAAGAAAAATGTTTGTTCTTGTTGCTGGAGTAGAAAATGGTTTTGTTCTGGGCAGAGATCCACAGACGCAAAATCCCCATCTGTTTGTGGTAGTAAGCACATCAGCATTCTGAAAATAAATGCCGTCAGAGTAATTATGTTTACATGCATCAGGGTTTAAAAATTCCTCAATGGCCTCATCGATGTCAACTTTTCCCATGTGAAAATATTTCGACCTGAAAAAAAAATATACGGGTTTTTAAATGGGATAGAAAAGGTTCTTTAGGGACAAAAAAATAGGCAGTTTATGTGAGTTGTAGCACTCACCAAGGCCTAAAATAAGCCTCAGCCTATAAATACCTCTGACCTGATTCAAACTTAACCTACCAGATGTGCCAAATAGATGCTATTACACAACAATGGCATCAGCTGTGAGACTCCTCTTACCGAGAAGAGCTTCAGGGAGCAAATCAATTAACAAACACCTCTCAGATACAACAGAAAATAAATCTAAATAACGGCACATGAGATGCACAGTTCTTCCTCACTGCTGTTTTATTCGTTCAACATCTCACATTACAAATACTTCAAATGTATGCATACAGTTACAAACAGTTGGCAGCAAATGAATATATGACATTAGATCTTTGTTTTACTTCAATACTACAAACCAACTATAAAAAACTGACTTCAGTATTGTAGCGTAAATTAATCAGGAAGAAAATATAAAAATTGGAACTTACGTATAAATGTGAAATGACTTAATAAAAATCAAAATGATATCAGGTAAAAAAAAAGTTAATAAATATAACCTTCCCAGCATACAATTAAAAACTATTGAAATTTTGCAATCAAGTAATACTAACAGACATAATCAATATTCTTTTCATCTGAAAATGTGGAGCACAATACAGCAATTAGAAAAAACTAGACACATCAACGAGTTTAACACATCACCCCAAAAATATAACAAAAATCTGATCAAAATGATAGTTATACATTTCAGTTGAAAATATAGCAAATGCTAAATACATTATCGACCTAGTATATACAATGTTTTCAATCACAGTAGCATGGTAGTAGCAAAATAAGTAAATAAGCACAAAACTAATGTTTAAAAATAAATTCAGGTATAAATTAGTTTTTTTTTTTTCTTGCAGACATCAGCATGAACAATAGGGAACAAAAAAAATGTGTAAATGACTGCATGTTTATATGGGTTAAATGACTCACACTGCTGAGACTTGTTTCTGGAAAGAATAAGTATTGCACATAATGGCTCAAAGTTAACTTGCAACATTAAATCACATTCAGGTTATGTCCCAAAGCATGCCACATCACAAAGGGGGTCAAGTGATCAAGTCTCCTCACCTATGTCCTACTGAGTGTCCTCTACATTACAAAAAACGCATCCAAAGTGTTGTCACTGTGTAGATTGCATAAACATCATGTCTGTGTAAAGAAGGCAGACTCCATCATGTAAAGAGAGGCTACAAGAGAGGTGATCTCAAAGAGTTAAGGAAAACAAAGTTAGAAAGGAAAAGGAGATCTAGTGCATTACATTAGGTCCTGCATTAACACTAGCCATGTTATTTTTGTATTACATTATGCATGCCAAGAATAAGTAGAACTTACAGGCAGTCCCAGAAAGAGGATCTAAATATTCAAACAGCTGATATTCACTCCGGTGATAGAAGGGAACATTTTACATTGACCAAAGCCAAAACATTTACCCTATTGATAATCTTATTGACTACACCTAGGAGAGAAATGTCAGAATATATTTTCAAGACTATCAAAATCAGTTAAGAAAGGTCTTGTCATGCCTTAGGATCCTGTAAGTATGTTTATTAGGACAGAGGAGAATCCATATATGACTGGCTAATGAAAGCCTTATTTTTTTTATTTTATCTACAGAATCACACCGATGCACCAGACAATTTTCAGATATACCAGCACTTAAATATATAAAAGCTAATTGAAAATTATATTAATATCATTCATTTTCTTTTTTTTAAATTAAGTTTACCATAAATGCAGATCTCTTAGTAACAAAGGTACAAAATTATTTTTCACCAAGTGAAAAAAATGAGGTATTGCAAAAGGAGTTCTCCCATCTGTGAAAAATGTGCCTAAAATGACTATTGAAAAAAATATTTAGAAAAGTAGTGCATAATAAATGTATATATGTTCATGACAAAATAATCAGCTATAAAACACTGTACAAAAATCAGCAGGCCATGTATAAAATAATATCTTTATCTCTGTGACAGCAAATTCTAGCTACTACCATATCCAACCACAACACTTGTGATAGAAGCTCCAGTCATGGTAGAGCGTGCAGTGGTACACCATGAGGACAGCTCAGGGAGACTGGACTGTGCATTCCCATTAGTTTGTACTACATTAGCATGTTAGCTTCCAGTGCTAATATCCCTGACAATATAAAGTGAGCAAATACTACTGTCAATACCTGAGCCCTGAGGGCTGTGTCTTTATTAGCCGACACCCACAAACTGAAACTCCACACAACTCCTGCCTTTCCTCTGCTGTACGACAAGAGGACACAACGTTATCCTGAAAACCCACAGATCAACACCTGCTTTTAATGATGCATTTTAGGCCAATCTTTGGTTTGCCCTTCTGGTTACAAAGTGTCGACTTTTAAACCAAGACCTAAAAACTCATGCCAGCAATCTAAATATGCGTGCCAGACTGAGGGGAGATTTTGTTTTGTGACGTGGCCAGATGCTATAATCTGAGCTTCTAGAAAAAAACTCAATCGTCCGACCATCTGAGACATGTTCCACCTCTGTTCATCTCAACCATTTGCACTCAACCTTTGGTAAATGGTACAGTTGTTCTCTAGTCCTGCAAGCAAAAATAAGAAAATGCACCTTTCTTAAACTCAACGTCCATAGTTAGTACACTGGTTTAGGTATGATGAACCTCACTTAAATTTTATGTTACTCTTGACAACAAATGTAAGCAGCTTTGCCAGCTAACACGAAAAGAAAGTACAGTCAAGTCAGAAAACATCTAAATCCAAATCTAATGCACCCATATGCTCATGCACACTTAAAGTCAAAACATAAATGGGATTTCACTCTCTTCTTAGCATTTACTTCTTTTAGAAGGCCGAATTTAAAAAAAAAAAGCAAAATAAAAAATAAATTAAGTTATTCTTTTTTTTTAACTTAAAAGAAAAGTGCATTTATTTTTCATATCCTAGCCCGTACCCCGTCCCTAACTACCCCTTCACTCAATCCCTCCCCAATCCTGCATCGTCTCCCTCCCTCGCCCTCTCGCCTCAGTTCCAGCGAAAGGAAATGTGTCGTGGTCGGTCCCCTCCCTCTTTCACCAGCGGCTTGTGGAACTCGCGCCCGGCCCGGGAGTGGATGGCTGCCCAGCAGTACTCACAGTAGTACTGCAGACAGGTCACGTTGGCGCAGAAGAAAGGAGCAAACTTCCCTCCACAGCGGGTGCCCTGGCACTCGTCACACAGCTGGTCGTCCAGAACATATGGCTTCACTTCCACCTGAAATGGATGACACAGAGGAAAATGGAGGTGGAGGAGGATTTGAATGCAGGCGCAGCAGTATGAGAAAAGTGGGAATCAATATTCCATGTTCATCCTCTCTTTATGTCGAAGACCTGAAAAAGAAGCTGCTGACATCAGACGGACTCACCCGTTTATCAATCTCTCCATGCTGCAGTTGAACAAATCGGGCACTGATGGCTGCAATGTAGCTTTGCTGATTGGAGAAGGCTACTCGCCCCGCCCCTTTCGGATACTTGAGCTCGGGGTCTGTGTCGATCCCGGCATAACACACTCCCCCATACAGACGGTCCATAATCATAGCCAGCTCCACTAGATAATGCAAGATATTGTTATTATTTGTTTACTTATTTGGTCATGATAATACAAAAGGTTTTCATTCACACATACCTGCACGCAGGGGTCGAGGGACACCTCCCACAAAGATAGTTTTTCTTGGATCCAAAGGCTGAGAGCCGTCCATCACAAAGTCACTGTCATTGAGATTCCAGGGCCGGATCTGGACCTTGATATACCAAGATAAAAAATAAAGAGAAAAAACACATTAATTTCCTCTCGGCTGTGTTCTCCTCCTTTGTGAACAAGAATCCGTTTGGATTATAAAAATGAAAGCCACTTGCTGCTTATATAATGAGGATTAACAAATATCAGTGGTTCAATTTGACTGCTACTGTAGCTTGTCGGTAGTGGCTGGAGTTTTTAACAAGAAGGACAAGTGAAATGAGATGGAATACTGCAGCCTCGCCTACAGGTGAGATCACTCTTTATTTACATTTTTCACTTTTCTTACTGTGGAGTAGATAACTGCAATATGTACATATTAAAACCACATGAAAAAACAACCAAACACAGAAACAGGTCAGTTGTATTTCATCATTAACTGCTCAATGCTTTTGCTGTGCAATTAAATTTGCCATCAAAATGAGAAGTGCAGAACGGACGCACGTCTCCTGGGTTTTTCCACAAAGCACTCACATTGTGAAACAAAACAAATGAGGATATACTATAAAGACACAATTATCTGTAGAATAAACCAAAAACCTGTGTCAATGGGTTTAATATTTAAGACAGACAAACTTACAGGCTTGTCTTTGATAGTGGGGCTGGAGACACACAGGTAAAGCTTGCCATCTTCCTGAATACATGCATCAATCAGGGCCTGAACAGAGCTCTCGTCTTGGAACAGCAGGAATGCATATCCTAGAAAGGTTGGACATGCAAAACAATGAGCGTGTGTTTAAAGCAAATACTCATCACAGTACTGTTGTGTCAACATGAGGGAGGACAGATTATGTTCAACTGGTTTAACTCACCTTTTGGTGGAAAGTAGGACTTGCTCTCTGCCTTGTGAGGCCAGTCAACAAACAAGTGACCAAATCGGCGAAAACTGGCAGTGATTTCATCTGAACAGAGAACTCAAGTTAGCTAATCCATCTGTGAACCTATTTAATGCTGCTCTCAAAACCAACAGATTACCATAAATGTGCAATACTATTAGTGTTTTGTGCATTTACTCTGTTTTTTTAGGTACATTTTAGTTTTAATTGGCAAAAAAGAGACCAGAAAAGCTGAGTTTCTCCTGTAGCCACCACACATCTGTACCTTCATCTATGTCCGGAGGCAGCCCTCCAACAAATACTTTGCGAGAGTATCGCTCCACGCGTTCACCGTTGAGGTGGGGGAAACAGTGGGCTGAGCCAAGACCAGCGAGCCCCTGGTCACCTGACTCGTCTTCCCCAAATGAGCGCTCATCCTCCATGGGGAACAAAGACGAATGGCCTAGTGAAGAGAGAGGGATTTGTATTACACAAATCTGGTTCACCACCAACCATAATTTTTAGCTCTGAAATTCTTTAGCATCACATTAAGCAGGGAGTTTGATTAGATGTGAATTAAATAACATCACAAAAACACACAAAAGCAGCCATAGTTGCCAATTTGTACGACACATTAAAAGCACAAGTAATATCACAAGGAGGTTTATGGCAGGCAACCTCAGGAGGCTTTTTCTGCCGACAGAAAAGGAGCTTAATCCCTAACAACAAATATGAGGAAGAATAAACAGTGACATTTAACAGCGAAGCAGACAAACACAGAGGCAAAACCACAGAGTCGTCATTTCAGGGAGTGTTACAGCTTTCTAAATTAACAGAAAGTAAGATCAGAACTCATTCACAGGCTTTACCTCGTCTTCTGCCATAACTTCTTGCTGCATGTAAAACAACACAAAACATTCTTGAAAGGGCTTTTTGATAAAAAGTGTCACATAATAAAAACATTCAAGTAAAACCTGCCAGGGCTTGGAATAAACATTGATAACCAGCTGTTTTTTTTTTTTACATCATGAACACATTTTAAGATCTAAGTGCAGCACTAACTTGAGTTAAAATCATTCATGGCAGCCAAGAGAAATACCAAAGCCTAAATCTGTGAAACAGGCTTCTACCCGAGATATATGTTTTTAACACGTTATCATTTGACTTAAAGGTTCATCATGAGTGCAAATTCAGTGACTTGATTTTGCACATTGGCAGCTGTCTAAATCGCATTCTATGTGCATCACCTTGACAGAAAATGGCCAAGAATTCTATTGTTACAGGAATCTATTTCTGTTTCCTGTTTGTGAGCCTTTTAAATTGTATCAGCTGCTTTTCTCTGGTAATCCAGTTCTTAAATTGTTCCTTAAATTAGCATGAATCTCTTTTATCTACATTTGGCAGACATTCATTTCAAGCTCTGGTTTCGGCTGCAGCACTGCATATTTGTATTCATGTCTTCAACATACCATTCATAGGTAGAGGCCCGTCTCCACCCTGGTGAGAGAAGGTGTAGCGTCCTACATAAAAATTAAACAAACACAAGGACAGGACAGACCTCAGAAAGATGAGTCATGTGATGATTTCCCAAAGGAGTCATAAATCAAATGCCTTCTCATACTTTTTTAAGGATTAAAAAAAAAGGTCCTGAGATCATAAATTCATGAAATCATTTTTGTGAACATTTGAGAGGGTTTGAAAAAAATGCCAGAAATGTAATTTGTTTTTAGTTTATGCATTTGCAGATGGTATGCTAGAAAATATTGGATATTTAAATTCTTTGGAGATTCGCTTGTGATTTAATAATAGGAAATATACTCAAAATAAGTGGAAGTCAAATGAGTTTTTAAAAAATTGCATAAAGGAGACAGCTGAGATGAGTGTCTGTAGAGACAGACGTGAAATGAGTCCAGTGTGACTGACTCAAAACAAAAGTACACTGATATTTTATAAGCAGGTGGGGTGGTTTGGACACTGCTGGTGACGGATTAAAGGGATACAAAGAATATGATGAATGATGTGTAGGTTTCACACACTCAAAATCAAAACTATTGAAACTTGTAATGTGCCTTTTTTTCTTCAAAGCCTCTTTTCACAAGAGAAAAGTAGTCATATCTCTACGACCTGGATTTCCACAGCAAAGCTGCACTCAAGTTACAAATCTGCTGAAGGATCATCTCATCCATAAATCTACAACGACTTGCAGTGAAAGCCGTTTTTACTTTCCAACACTCAGTGCTTACATAAGTATCAAAAGAGTGACTAAAGTTTGAAGTTTATTCTCGTCTTCAAGATCACATTTTCAGGAAAAAAAATTCTGATTTGTTACAGTCCAATTGTTATCAGAACATCTTCAACGGTACTCATCTCCCCTAAAATAAAAATTTGATTCTGCTCAGTGGGTACAAAATTGGCAAAAAGTACAAAGTGTTGGTTATCTCATTTGTTTGTTTATGAGTGGGGGAAAATTGGTGAAACACTGAAACACATTTGTACATGCCAATAATACTTGAGCGTCACTTTTCTCTAAAAAATCTAGACCAATAACACATGCAACTATATCATCAAAGAGGATTTGTACTGGTTAAGTCTCACTGAAAGAAAAAAGAACATTTTGGTTAAACAGAAAACAGGATTCCCGTTCAGCTGATGAGGTCTCCTTGAAGTCTTGTTTTAGTCTACAGCCCTGAGCATCAACAAACTAGTATCATGTTTCAAATTTTGGGACAAATTCGGCTGTATTAATGCTCTAACTAAGCCTCGCAGTAAACACAACCCCATGACTGCATAATAAAAATGGAACTCAGTTTTTATTTGCTGTCAACAAACGGCTGCATTTATCTACAGCCAGTAATAAGGGGATGGGGAAAACTATCCTTTCCTCAGCATTGTTAGTGTGGGAACCAACCTTTCAAGGAATCCTGCTCAGCCCTCATAATGTCAATCAGAGAGTTCTCCAGAGAGTGCATACTGAAGCCATCAAAGGACCGTGTTCTCTCCTGCTGAAAGAGAGGAAGACAACAATTAGCATCCTCACTCCCCGCATCACCATCTAAAGCTGCAAAAGCCCTGACATGGTTCGCTATGATGCTAAAAGCTAATAAAAGACTGCAGAGAATATCCCTGTGGAGACCCCCGATGGAAAATGCTACAAACAGAAAATGGAGCTCTGCGTGTGTACAAAATAATCATCTGCACATCTCTGCAATCAAAGCACATCTTTCCACTGGATCTCACAAAATCAGATAAGATATGCTACATGTGGAGCAAAATATGCATACTAAGGCCCTCATAAAAAAAGCGTATATTTGCATTTGAAAGCTGTGATGAGTAATACAAACGAGTCAGGGCTCTTCAGTGCGTTTCTAAATGGGCTGTGAGCATGCAAAGCTGGAGCAGAGCACAAGACTCCTCAAATCAGGACAAGAGGAAGGCCATGTGATCAGAGCAGACGATAAGACTGCTACCCTTCAATGAAAATGATCTAGATTAGACTCTCGACACAAACACACAATTACTTTCAATTCATCCGCCTGGTTGGCTTAAGCGTCATATATCCTGTTTGGCTCAATAGTTTATTTGTTGCATTAGATACAGAAGGGTGTATTTAATATGATTAACATCATGCCCCTGGAAGACACAATCCACACATTTACAAATGTGCAGTTGTAAAGGGCCGCGGTCCAAGTTTAAAGCTGTTTTCAATGGAACATTAACACATGAAATCAAACTAACTGCTTTTAGGAATCTTGCTTTCTATAAACAGCCCGAGCAAATTACCCTTTTAATGCTCACCTGGAAAGGATAGACACTATCACTGCGGCTCATACTGTCCTCCACCCAGCCTTTGTGATTAAAGCCGGAGCTGTTCCTCGGGAACTTCTGTGAGGGAACCTGAAGGTTAGTCAGATTAGATTAATACAAGTCTACAGACAAACACATTATCTGATATTATGTTGAATATCACACAGATCAGTAAAGATTCGACCATGTCAGACTCGAGTTATGAAAATCTCCTCACCTGGTTGTTAGGGAAAGACTTTTTCAGTGGGGAGATCGAGTTCAGACCTGTCATCCCTCCACCTACCCCCCGCCGGTACTCTCGCACCCCCTGCGTGCCTCCCCAGCCACCATACCCCCCAGGGCTCCAGGAGGTAGATGTGGGAGTGGATGGGCTCTGGTAGCTTCCCCATGGTGAGGGGGGTTTGCTCTGAGCAGGAGCAAGGTGGGCTAGCTGGGTGAACGGTCCGGTACGATGGGGGTGTGGAGGGAAGGAGGGCTGAGGTGGATGAGGACTGGCCGGGGAGCGGCGATGCTGTTGTGGGACCCCCTGACCATGTGGATGATAGTGCTGGGGATGAGGTGTGGGTGGGTGGTGTTGAGAGACTGGTCCAATCTGCGGGGAGAAACTTCCCCCGGCTCCAAAGCCTGGCCCGGCGTGGTGGGAGAAGTTCTGGAACAGCAGGGGGGGTCCGTTGGCATTGGAGCCAGCCGGACCAAAAAACCCTCCCACGTCTTCCCCGACCACTGGAGACTGGGTTGATGGGACAGCAGGGGACCAGTTGTTAAAGCTGGTCAGTGAGGATGAGGAGGAGGTGGACTGTGCACAGCTTGTACCCATTCCCAGGCTGTCCTGGTAGTCAAATCCGCTTAGCACTGGGGACTCCATCCTCAACTTCTCCTTCCCACCGCTGCTCTCCAGAGAACCCTTCTCCAATGTGCCTTCTTCAGGAAGAGCACCCTCAAGCTCTCCTAGGCCTCCCCCACTCTCTTGCTGCCCCGGGGACAGGGCCTGGGGCTGGGCCTGGACCTGAGACTTGTCTTGCATGTCCTGGAGGTCCAAGGTCTTGGACTTGTCTGACTCCAGAATCTCATCTTGCATGTTACTGTGTTGGGCTACAGCGGGGAACAGCCAAGCACTGCCCCCATTGGTGGAGCAGGTGTTGTTTACGAAGGAAGGGGGGCTGGGGGGGTTGGAGGGGTGGTGTGGGTTCTGGGGTTGGAGGTGAGGAGGGATCCTTACAGGGAAAGCAGATTTGTTACCGCTGCTGTTCTTAACCAGAACTCCAAACCCGTAGTCCCCCATTTAGGACACCCAGTAAATCTTCAGTTCACTTTTGGCTTTCACCTTCTTTTTTATCCTAAAATGTGAGTTCAGGAGAGACAGAGAGAAGGACAGAATATGTGACAAAAAGCAAATAAAAAAATAAAAAAGCTGTTACATCTCAAGTTGATCTGGCCTCTGGAAAAAAACAAGCCTCGCCAACCCCAGTGAATGTGCTTGGGCTGCACCCAGTCTGGTCTTGTGATGCAATCAATGAGATTAAATCATTGACTCGCTTGGCCATGAGAGGCCTGGATGAAATATAACACTCGAATAGCAGGCAAGGCAACCACGGAAAACACCCAGCCTGAGCAGCGTAGGCAGCAAACAGCTTGTGCAGGAGAAGCTGACGTCTCCAAAGGTCGTTACGCAGCTAGCAGCGAGCTAACAGCTGCTGCTCCGCCACCTTCCATGTGCCCTATTAATCATGCAGATCCAAGCAGTTCCATTTTCAAGTACATTTTAGTGCATTACACTGCATCTGTGAACGCTTTAACGATGAGCTGGCTCTCAGCGTGGACACCTACCGTCTTATCTTTCCTTTTCAGCAATGACCTCCTCATACGCAACCATTTAAATACAGGAAAATGCTGATGACGACGTCTCCTGTCTGTTCTGGATCTAGGGTAGTTCCCTTCACCGAGCCGCTAGGCTAGGATAATAGCCGATACCGCAGAGAGACGCCGTAGCATATTTGCAAAGCAGCTGGGGGAGCGAGAACCGGATCCAAAGGCCGCAAAAATGTCTTTAACTAACACGACATTGTAGTCGACAGCAGGGTGGAGGAATAGAAGAGGAGTGTGCGAGTTTGAAATGGTGTTCAGCTCTAAAGACGACCTCGTCTGTTTCGTGTCCTGTATGTTCAATGTCACACAGCCTACCAATCCTTGTCATCATTTTTACATCTCCGAATAAGCCATCGAAACCTACGCTTCCAATTTAACGCATCGAAAAGCATGTGCATGTAATGATATGTCGGGTATAGCTACCTTCAGTTCGGCGTCATGACCTTATCGTTTTGATGTTGCCATATTTTAGCGTTTTCCCTTTTTCTGCATTTCCAAGGCAGCCGGTGTAAATGGTCTCTTCTCTGTTCTAGATGACAGCTGGACCAGTCGGGAGACACTTCCGTCTACAAGCCCCGCCCCCTCCGTCAGCCACCAGCCACTGACTGTCAGGATTTCCTCCAGACGCCCCTCCCTCTTCCAATGAAATCCAACATCTGATTGGCATGAGACTATTAGGCCACGCCCACATAACTCCTTTTCAATGAATGGCGCATGCATTCAAGACGTTCTCCTCCCAAATAAGGAGTCCTCAAAATCAATGGGAGGAGTTGTTTTAAGCAAAATACGTTTGATATTCAAAGTATTTAAAAAATATATATCTTTACCCTCGGCCAGGTCGAATTATTTTACTTTTCTTATTTATTACAACAGAGAAGAGGTAAACTTACAGAGAGTTAAAATCCAAGATCTTCCCCAACATTTGCATAATGCAGATACGTCTATTTGTTTAGGCAAATAATTTCCCCCACCTCCACAACCTGAAGGAGTGAGAGTAAGATAGATCCTGAAAATAAACAAGATAGATAGATAGATAGATAGATAGATAGATAGATAGATAGATAGATAGATAGATAGATAGATAGATAGATAGATAGATAGAATACCTGTGCCTTAGTATGTATAAACGAGCACTGTAGTCACAGAGTTGAAAATTACCCTCCTACCTGTAACTTCCAGACTACAGGTAGGAGGGTGGCTCAAGTGGTTCAGCATGTGAAATGATTACAGGATGTCAAGAAGACACAGAAAACTCAATTACAAATTATTCTTCAAAATGCTGCAACTAAAAACGGCTTTTCTTTCATGGCAGCTTTCTGAGCCGGTGCACCATGGCATGCAACTGATGCCCTTTTATATGCATATATATATATATATATATATTGCCTCTAACCCTCAACCAGCCTCAGTACACCCCTGGGTGGAGTATCATTTTAAATAGCAGTACTCCTTCTTAAAATGCAGTATACATTACGAAAGTTTGGGTAAAGTTACTTGTATTCGTGCTGGCAAAGAGACTCCTCCAAAGACTCGTCTTTTTTTAAATTCTGCCAAAATGGAAAGGGACATATGAGGGGTCTGAAGTACTTAAACAACATTCTATGGTATTCAGTAATTCACTGTTTAAACAACTTGCCAAAAAAATACCCAGAATATCTAAAAGACCTTTTCAATTTAAGTTTCTGTCCCCCTTTCTGCACAGTATGAACTTCTAGCTTGTTCATTAAGTTTGGTTAACACTCTGTTCCAATCCCCAAGGCAGACCCACCCTTTATTTGTATCCTGTAGTCGCAGCACACAATCACCCCGCCCCATTCACATGTGCAGCAGGGCCTGTTGGGGCTGTTTAACAACACAACAGTGTGTCCTGATCTTCTGGTTCCTTCTTCAAAACACAAACTGCTGGTCCAGGTGTTACTGGTTTAAATGGCGTGGTGTAGTATCGACATATTGGTTGAGTGTATAGTGGTGGTCATTGGTTTTTAGGTCGTGTGAATAAAATGTGTGCTGTGATCCACCATCTTATGCACTGCTGTCTGTTATAAGGCTTTGAGGCTGGCAGTAACTCGAGCACTGAGTGGTGTCAGCGTTTTCTTCCCGGAGAGCAACACACTCTGTGCTCCCCAGTGAAACTGAGGCTGGTTGTTCAGGTTCCCCTTATTTTATGCAGCTGAAAAAGGGGGACATTTTTAGAAAGTGTGCATTTATTAATGTAATTTTTCTTTCCCATCTCAAGTGCACCAAAACAGCCGTCTTTCTTAGGCCAACAAGAAAACAATGATGGATTGAACTAACTCACCTTGGATGGTTCCTAAATGATTCATCTGTGGAACTGAGGCACCCAGTCATTAATTCATTAGTCCTCACTGCAGCACAGGATAGATGTTCACAAAGCACCCCGGCCTACAGTCTCAGGTTTCTCTGCTCACAGATGCAGTCCCCCTCCACTGCTCTGCCTCCTCTCAGATGAGATCTCTGCTGCCTCCACATTGACAGGGCTCCGTTGCTATAGCAACCACGAAAGCTTTGAGTTTTCTAGTCCAGTCGTGCACCAATTGTTGAGCAGGGAGGTCATCTCTCCGGGACTTGTGGTTTAGTGCAGCAAAGTGAGTGTGACACAGCATTTTTTTTACTCACAAAGTGACGTCCAGGTGAATATCTTAAATTGCAATCTGTGGCCTCTCTTATCAGCATAACCACACACCAGCAGAGCATGCAGTTGATTATGTCAGTGTAATGTTTAGTGATGGCTGCAACCCATGCTGCCGATTTTATCTGTGAGAAGGTAGGGAATTTTTAACAATAAATTCATTTTCTTCAAGCTGAGGCTGATTCATGGCAGTGTATATGACTCACTGGGGATGTAAGCATACTCAAGAACTAGGTTTGAATGTCAAAACATACAAATGAAGCTCAGTGTAATCACCACAGCATTTCCCCATTTGAAGACATCTTTAAATTGAATGTATCACATCATAACTTGTGGATTACTTTTTCTTCTACTTCATATAATCTCATGTTTTGTTAGCTCTCAGTCAAGAAGCTGAGTTTTTATTCTTTATTTCATTTACTGACAACCTGAAACAATAATGTTGGGTGCTTGCAAGCCTGCAGCCATACCCTTCTCCCACCCCTGTTAGACTGATGCAGATCTAGGACTGAAATGTTGCTAATAAATCGATAATTTTGCAAGTTATTCAGTGTGAGGAGGTTTGCTTTTTATTAAAGAAATGCTTGAAATGAAAGAATATGACAATGCGTTACACAAATATCACTTGTCAACATAAACCACAAGATTTCTCATAATGCAACTTCATCGCATTTCCCCTGTTTCTTCTCTTACCTTCATGAGTGGCACCCCAGACCTCTAGTTTGTAAAACTGTTTCTGTTCTGAAGCCCCAACTGAGACAACACATCATTGCATTTGCAATGTAAATCATTGTCAACCTGCAAAGTTTCAAGTCCAACATCATCAGTGAAGTCTTCTTTTAGTATAAATAAATGTTGTTGTCTGCTGTTTCAAGATGCACTCTTCTCACAGGGTCCCTGCAATCCAAGACATCCACAGAGAGCATAGTGCTTTACTTTAAATGAAAACCCAAAAGATGAGATACTTAACCTGCATATTCATCTCAGCTTTAGAGACACTTTATACTGCAGTCAAGATACATCTCTTCCTCCATTAAAACTCAAATATTGCACTTTGTTTTAACATCTGCCCTTGTTAATAAAAGAAGGGTGTCACCACCCAGTGGTCATTCAGTTTAACTACAAACTCAGAATAAACTTACTACTAAAAGCTGTGGTGGAAGTAAAGCACATTCACAGCGGTTTGAAGAGGTGCTGATATTACAGTAGCTGTATGATTAGTAAAGGCACAACATGTTTCGTCTTTCAGTGATGAACTGGCAACAAAAACGGGAAAACACTGAATAGATGGGTTCATGAGTCTTATTGCCATGTATGTCTCGAGTCCATGCGTATCAGTATAACCTGAACATGACTCCAGAATGACTTAAAGCTCCAAAATAGTCTCTGGAAGTCTACCTTTCAAATCAAAGCCCTGTCTAAATGTTTAGTGAGGCAACATACACTGTTGGGACAACTCATAAAGACTGACACCCTGAACACACCCTGAACATTGCATACAATCCAGAGCTGCTGACGTAAATGTTTAGGTCTCCCAATAGGGAGGATATTTCCAGTCCTTGAAATTTTAAACACAGCCCGTGTTTCACTGCGAGGGAGGAGGCAGCGAGTCAAACGAGAATGGGGTGTCTTCTAACTTGTTAGTATACCTGAGACGACAAGGCCTTCTCTGCTGACCTGATCATAGCTTAAGCTTCTGATAGTTTTGTCCTCAGGAAGACATTTCACCCTCATTTTGTGCCACTTATACATCAGCAACTAGATTGACAGACACATTTACAAAATACAGACAAAACATATTTTAATGATAACAAGATACATCCGTCTTCATGAATGAGTTCAAATGTATTGATAAGAACCTATGCCAAATGTCTTACAAGTAAGTCACTAACTTCTAGACCATGTTCTGTATTTTCAACAGTGAAAGCAGAGTCCTTGTGCTTTACAGAGGAAAACACACGATGTGATGATGGATCCCTAACATTACATAAAACGTGGTTAGTTTTATTTTCCTCTGAACACATTAACAACAGCCATTAAAGCCACTACATTTTTACAAAAAGCAAAACTTAATGACAGAGAGCTGAACAGATTGTAACTTTACACTCATACAGTACATTCTCAATAGGAGTAGCTTATGTCTTGTGCCAGGATGTCACAGGAATCCCGACTTCCACAACAGAATAAAAAAAAAAAAAGAAAAGCGTGCAAGCCTCACTGATGATTCAAACCCTTGAAGCTCAAAATAGTTTGTTAATGATTGCAAGGGTTAAAATTTACTGTAAATACATCAAGGGGTAGAAAAGTTTTATTTAAAAACCGAGCCACAAAATCTGAGCTTGTTTTATTTTCTTTCTGCACCAGTTGCTCCCCAGCATGTGGTGTTGTGTGCTCACAAACTGCACTTCCACCGCTAAAGCATGTGACTGGCCTGAAATGGTCAAAAGCCTGTGTGTGTGACCTAAAGGAGGGAGAAGAGCAGCACAAGGAGAAGTAAAGACAGGAGTGAATCATCACATTTGGAATTTAAAAAAAAAAAAAAAAAGTTGAGCACGTCTCTCTCCTTTCTGCCTCTCCGGGTTGCTGGCTCTTGGCCGGAGCCTAGAGGAATTCTCTGGTGGCCTCGGTAAATATAACATTTAGAATAACAGCGCCAGAGCCCCCGTGTGTGGACTTAACCCAGTTCCTGGGTCCTTGCTGCGTTGCCTGCGGCTCTGACGGGTAGAATAACAGGCCTTCATGTCTCTCCTGACCTAGGTAAGGGACCAGAGAGAGAGGAATAAGGGCTAATTTAGAGGGGCCAGAGATCTGGAGGGTTCCTGTCAAGCCTCTTTCCTGCCCTCTGGGACACCACAGGAGTGTTACATTGCTCTTCTTTAAAAGGGGCTAAACCTGGTCCTAGGGTGCATGTGGGGATACAGGAGTTGTTGCTGTAGTTGATAAGTAGAGCCGGGGTTGCTAAATTTAAATATCCTCGTCAGGGTGACTGCTCTGGTAACCTGGTCTGGTTTCTTAACGTGCAGCAGCTCGAAACAAATCATCCAAAGTGCAAAATCTAAGACTTTTGTGGCTCATCATCAAGAAACAGCTGAACAATAAATCTCCCCCTGACACAGTATCATCCATTCACTTAAATCACAGAGAAGCGGTCGCCGTGGACAATAACAAGTTTAGGCACCTTGATGTGTGAGATTTTACAAAGAACTCAATTAGACATCCTCCCTTTGCTGCAGTTCCCAACGAGCTTAGACTTACATTGAAAACCAACTGAGGCGAGGATGAATAGCATCTGACAGTTCAGTTATTATCTGTGAACAAGAACAATGATATCTCCTGAAGCTATAAACATGACATTAATACATAATGTCAGGACAACACAGCTCCTGAAGCTCTATTAACAATGAGTGGGAGTGATATGATACTTTCTGCATCCAAAACAAGATGCATGTCTTGAGTTGCATGAATACTTATGAAACAACAACAACAACAAAAAAAAGTCCTTAGTCGCCCATAAAACTGCCCAGACAGCGGTGCTTGATGACATCGAAGATCTGTCTTTGCTCTCTTATTTCTAGCTTTGTGAGAGCCTTACCAATACAATGCACATGTGAAATAACTGTCCATTTTCATAGTATTACATTTGCATCCTCTCAAAAATGAACTTTCACTTTGAGGATGCACAAGTCTGTCGGCTTTGTGGCCATCATGCACTACATTTCATATGTGCCAGAACTGGACTTGAAACCTGTACAATTTGTATTTAATCCTCAAGTATCTATAATATAACACACATTCCCACTCTGAGACAACAAACGGTGTATGTTACATATGTACAGACCAGAGTGTGATGGGTGCAATACTGTGAAGAGCGCAGACAGCACACCATGTACTATCATCTATAGTATATCAGTATTGCATATTGTAGCTATATTTATACATGTTTATATAAATATAGATAGTATATTTCTATGTACATTCTGATAGTTCGACATTGCATAAAGAATAAAATAAATAATACAAATATAATCAAATCTTACAGTAAGTATGATTTGAGAAATGCTATATTAGAGCCAAAATAGTCATAACAGTTGAAATAATCATGATAATAACAATTATTATTTCTTTTTAAAAAAGTGTGGCCTACAGTCTGGCATAACAGTACGAGCTACACCGCATTTACCCTGCAAGTTTACCATGTGGGACTGCTGGAATGACTGGAGAGGGCGGAATAAGAACAGGAAAGGTTGGGGCTTGTTTCCTTCTGCTCAGTCTGTCTGGGAATCTGAGTGTGCCAGAGTAGTGTGTGCATGTGTGTGTGTGTTTATGTGTGGAGGTGTGCATGAGTCTGCAAGTGTGGCTTTTTAAACATTGTGAGGGGTCAAAGGTCAGGACAGTCTCCTGCGCTTTCACCTCCGGATGTCGGTGGCCTCGGGATCTTCCTGCTCGGCCACGATATCGGCCTCAGGACTCTGACGACGGGGTCCCTGACTGCGATTGCGTGGATGAGCGTTGAAGCCCGCCTTACCAGGTTTCTCCTTTTCCCCTTGCCGTGGTGGGCGAGGGTGCTCCGGTTCAGGGTGGGAGGGCGAGGGCCGGCGGTGGTGTTCAACAGGTGAGCCGGCAGGAGATGGGGCGAGGGAGGAGCAGAGGCTCAGGCTGTCACATAGAGCCCCCCAGTTCTGCTCACACTGCAGCCGGACACTCCGAGTTAACGCCTCCTTCACCTCCTCACCGCAGCTCAGAAGGATGTTCACCAGCTCCACATATGGACTGAACAGAGAAAGAGGAGGCTGTGGTTTGACATTTGGAATCACAGTTCATCTAGGTCTAGGAAGTGACATGAATGAATAAATGAATGTGGTGGTACTTTACTCAACATGGAGAAACAGAAACGCATCCAGTGGGGGTAATCAATCAGAGATTAAAGGGACAGGCTGCAAAAATTACATGCAGCTGCTTACCCTTTAGGGAAGAGATCTTGAAAATGGATCATCTCCACCATGACCGCCACATTCTCCTTTGCAGCAGAGCACAGGTTGTGTTTGATGTAACACTCTCTCTGGAGCTGGAACACCATCTCTTTAATGGACACACATTTCCTGCTGATACAGCTGAACTTGTGCCGGAGCCCATGTGCCATACACTTCAGAGCATCTTTGATGAAGGACTTCCCCTAAAAGTGAGACACAGAAACCTTGAATTTGTTTTCACTTAAGAATGAGCAAAGAAAACACTATTGCACTTGCACTGTGGGCTTGGAAGATGTTGTAAACTGGTTTCGATTGTGTTAGAGATTATGTGTTGTTTTGTGAGAACAAACTCATATGAGTGTGGACTATAGAGTAATGGAATTCTGCATTAATGGTAGTGAATCGTGCTACTCTGTTGCTGAAATCATCTGGGTGTGTTTGCCAAAGATGTAAGTTTCTTGTATGTGACCCATTTGACATATTAGGGCCCTGGTCAGGCCTGGCTTGGCAGGGCTTCAGCCTCTGCTATGTATGAAAAAGGAGCTGACCGGGCTTCTGGCCAACTGGCTCATGACCCCTGCTTCTAACTGTACATGCATCAGTCCACTGAGAGAGAAATGAACTTCCCATGAGAGGAAAAGAGATTATCGGAGGAGTGAATGAAAGTTTGCACTTGTCGAAATACTGGTTTGAAGAAGGAAAAAAAAAACAAGTAAAAAAATCATTTCATGGCTGTTAAGTAAGGAAGAGTGAGCCAGTGAAGCGGGGAAAGGAATGTTGCCCTCAGTTATATCACTTTTTGCAAACACAAGGACAAACTAGTTTAGTACCTGAGAGTCAAATTTGCCAGCGTTGTGCAGGAACGTCATGCAGATTTCCTGTAGCCCTCGTATCTCACAGGAGTTATTCTCAAAGCACTCAAACACACCACAGCCGACATCCCCTGCACTCACCAGGCAGTGCTGGATCTCAGCTGAAAAGAGAGAACAGGTTAGGGGAGGGACCTTATCATCTGTTCACAGCTGAGACAGCGGCAGATTGTTTTGGGCACGCTGGCAATGAAGACCGTATGGCTCCAAGGAACTGATTGCTGCACAAATTACAAAGCTGATGTGGCGTATAACTATTTTTGTAGACACGGCGGTTGTGCATGTCTTCATAACCTAGAACGTGAGAGAGAAAAGGGATGCAGGGAGTGAGGGATGAGGAGAGGAGGAGAAGTCTTATTTCTCAAGCCGAGGGGTTCCTGCAGAGGAACACTTGGTGACAGATAATACTGTGTCATTCTGCAGCACAATCCATCTGCACTGCCTAGCATTGAGAAGGGATGCTGCATTGCAGATACAGCCTTTGACTACTTGTACAGGAAACACAAATGCAGTCTTCTCTATTTTCTGTTAACTAAAATATGCATCAACAAGTCTCACTTTGTTGCATTTGAAGAAAGGATGAGTTAGCATAGAGGAATCTCTAAATAAAAGGTGCATAACTGAAGGAACAGCAGCAGCGGTGCATACCAAAAACTCGAATAAGTAAGTAGATGTCATGTGAACACATAATATCAGCTTCTGCACACCAGCGGCATGTTCTCAAATGCCAATTTCTTTTAACTGCAGCCATGAAAGACAGGAATAAAACTGATGATTGAGAACAGAAATTACCGAGGGAACGTGAATGTCTCTCGTGTAACCCCAAATTGCTGTCTGACAGCATGTATAATGAGACATCTGACTGCCAGCTGGGAACCTGTCACAGAAACTGCTGCTTACCTTATGTGACATCGTTTGGAGCGTTTCCTCCATAAGTTACAATTGCCAATTGCATGCATTTTGTAGTTTCAATATGCCCATAGAATAACCAAGTCATTACATTAGCAAACAAGGATTTGTCTGTGAGCTGTCACTGGCGTCAAAACGTTTTTCCTTCTGTCTGAAGAGCGCACCAGTTGCGTAAAAAAAGACTGACCTGAACAGAGCAAACAATGGATTAAATGTGCCTTATGAGAAATCACGCTTGTCAACAAAGAGCCTCTGTTGGGGGGAGGGGGCAGTAGTAGGGAGAAGGGGCCGAGCTGCTGCGGGGGTTTGTAGGCACAGAGTTGAACTTTAGTGCGCAGGAAAAGTGAGCCGCTGTCAGCAGTGCTTGTTTTGGCATCACGGGAATGTGCTTGGATCGTGCGAGCTCGGCCGCAACGTGCATTGAGTTACACAGTGGTGTTACCAGGGTCTCTGCTGTGAAACCTGCACAGGAGTTTGTCCCCATTTTCAGCGTGGGAGCGAGATAATAATGGTGCTGTCACATTTTGACATGGGTTTACATGGTGGGTCGTAAGGCATGCTGTAACCGTGTGGAGAGAAAAAAATGCAACGAGGCAATACAAAAGATGATTTAGGGCGAATGCAGCAGTCCGGCGTGGTGTTAATGCTCTGTGGTAAGAAGACAAATCAAACTCGTATTTTCTTTTTTCTGTTCGCAACATTTTCTATGAATGTTGGTTCAATAAAACAAACTCCTACTTGCCTTCAGCGCTGACCAAGCACCAGCCTATCAGCACTATGAATGATCTACAAACCTGCCTGATAACATCGTTCGACATTCAGGAAAGGGGAGAAACGTGCAGGAGACACATTTCTTCCAGAAAACCACCAAAACTGTCACATAACTCGCGCACAGCAGTGCGCACGCACACCTAGCGCTGCCGTATATATTACCTATTACCTTGTACCGTTCTATTAATAGTTTACTAACATATTGGATTTCTGTCTGAGAGTATTTACAAGGTATCGTCTTTCTTGGTAATCGAAAGGGTCACTGCTTTGCATCACAGCGCCGAATTCAGGTAAAAAAAAAAAAAAAGAGCGGATTAATCCAGTCGGCCGGTCAAGTCCCCAGCGTGGTTTAATCTGCAACCACAGAAACACGTGTACGGACAAACCCCACGTAGATGCGCGAGCTGTTGCACCAACCAATAGTCTCCACATTCATATCTGCACTGACAGTCATTTCTTACCTGTGTTCTGCAAGGAGAGGCGTCCTTTCTGACTCGCAGGCTTCTCCGGGAGGCTGTCATGGAGATCAACATTATCCGATCCCACTACTTGCTCCAGCACTGACAAAACCAGCAGCGCCACAGCCAGCTTGACCAACATCGCGTCTCCGTCAGCGCGCCTCGACTCCCAGCAAAGATCCGGCAGTGTGCGAGTGTGTGCGAGGGTTCACCTTGGATCAGCGATCAACGCAGCTGCGCCTTGGTGTCTAATGGGGGCAGCTGTGGGTCTGAATGCATGAGCTGGAAGGGATGCTGCCTATATTTCTCAGAGCCCCGGGTGTCAATTTGGATGAAGGAGTTAAGCAGGTGTTGTCGTTTGGGGCTTCACAACCAATCAGAGACGCAGACATCCACGTCCAAGGTTTTAGGGGAGTGTCCAGTGAAAGTCCCCTTTTTTTGCAATAAAACTGGCGCCATAAAGCAATATTCATAAGTGAGTTTACTGTGACAGCTCTGAGATGACCAAGAAAACCCAAATCATGTCATTTTCAATATATGATCTGCATATAATGCAGGATGACTTAGCTATAGCTCTGCTTGTTGCTGCAGCAGAAGGTCTGTTTTTGCCATAGAGCACACGTTTGGAGCACTTATTCAAGCTACAAAGCTGAGTATAATAACAGTTGAAGGATCAAGGAATAGGCTACCAACCTTGCCAACAAACTGCCTAAGATTAAAGCATATGATGTCCAAGAGCTATCCTTAAAATAGAATCAGCTTGTGGGTTTACAACCTACTAATTCATTAATGCAAAGTAGTGATTACATTAACATCTTCTAAGATTTCTGAAGTCAAAACTCTCTTAGAGAATGGGTGAAAAATCTGCTTGGACAGCTCTAGGAAGATGACCTGTTCACTATTTCAATGACAGACAAGCTGACAGGACTTTATATGAGGCTTATTGATTTTTAGATCCAACTAGAACTGCATACTTTCAACCGAAGGCTCCTAAAAATAGAAATCCTTTAACTTGCTTTTTTATGGGGAAGGCAATATGAAGAGGGCTGTTACACAATGCCCAGTTTAGCCTGTGACAATGAGCTCTGCTAACCACTACTACACACACTGAGCTAAGAATAGAGGACCAACATTGGCAGACTTGTACATCTGGAGACGTTAGAGGAATCTTTTTCAAGAGTAACACTTGAGGATGCCATGTGGAATGACTGCAAGCAGACTGCAGAGGGAACATAAAGTCTCTGTCTTTAAATGTTTCCAGTGACCTAATGGTGTTACTACTCTCAGGTAAAGGCCTCTGTAGGAGCCAGAGGTGCGACCCGAGCCAGCGCGTTGCTTTGCTGCTTGTCATGCCAGAGGACTGCAGGTGGACAGGAAGTGGTACAGATGACTGGGAATGAGCATCAAGGTGCAGTGTTGGCAGCTGCACTTTAGTCCCCAGCCTCTAGGGGGCCCACTGATACTTATTGTTCCTTTCTTTCCTTAATTACAGAGAACATTAGAGAAACCTCACCATAACAAAACCAACATCAAACTTAACGAGCCTCCACATAAGCATAGGCCCAACAAATACAGACAAAACACATCCCCCCAAAAACATACACCGCTTCTTTTTTTAAAGTTATGGCTTTGTTTTTTTTTTGTTTTGGCCTTCATTAGATGGGACGGCTGGAGAGGGACGGGAAATTGGCAAAGGGTCGTGGCTGGGAATTGAACCAGCAATTGCCTCAACAACATCTATATGCACCCTATCTTACTGGACATGGGAATTTTTGGATTATGGGATGGAAATGAAGCATTGGGAAGTGATTCAAAGAGAAAACTAGCAAAAATCGGCTAGTTGATTCTTTTCACTGGTGGTTTATGGCAAATATTCTCCATTTTGAAACAAAAGAAACAAGAAAAGGCAACAATTAGGGATTTGGGGGGTTATTTTTCCTGGGGTGGGTGAGGGGACTTGAGAAACCCCCCAAGAACCCCTTGAAAAATATGATACGCCACTGCTGGGGTGCCCAATAAATACTCATAGGGAAATAATTGGCTTTCATTTGTGTGCGTGTGTGTGTGTGTGTGTGTGTGTCTTTGTGTGTGACAGACAGCAGCTTAGACAGACAAACAGCCATCTGAATTTCATAGATCTGTGACTTTGAAATCTGTTTATCATAACATTTCATTTATTTTCACAAAATCCTTTTCATGGGAAGCTCTGGCTTTGTCTGCTGGAAAAAACTCTAAAACCCAAGCTATATTTAGACCATCAATGAAATTAGCCTAGAGCGGGAATTGGACTCCGGCTCGAACCTGACCAAAATGACGATCACTTATAGCTCTAAATATAGATAATTATTATCTTCAGACTGCAGTATCTATCGTTTTAATTGAGGTTTTTAGTCAGTGGAATGAATTCTGGAAAAGTTACCACAGCTGAGGCATGGGAGGTATTTTGGCCAGGGGATAATTCAGCGTAACAAACCTCAACATTTCAATATTCCCATCATATTCCTATACTGCATGTGGTACAGTTTTTCTGCTTTGCATGTATTGTGATCTTGTCCCACTTTTGTCTTCCATCTCAGAGCTATAACACAAACACAGAGATGAGCTTTGATGTGATTTAAGCATGCTTCAATCTAAATTTAACAAGGCATCACTTAAAGACTTTCTTCTGCCCAATAAAAAAGTTGTTCCAGTCTCTGTGCCACAAATTGGCTTAAGCTTGACGAGCACAGAACGGAAATTGCAATGCAGCAGTATTTTCAAACTCCAACTGGATTTTCAGCAGGCTCGTGGGTGGGGAGTTGGGGGTGTAGTGCACTATGGCACGCGTCTGGAGATGGGTTTGGTGCGTCTCCAGTTGTGCCTATACCACAAACTGGAATCTCCTGCTCAATTCACGTCTGTTAAAGTCTACCCATGCTGTGAACACACCCTCAATTTGGCCCAATCAGTACGCAGCAGTGGACCACAGTCTTGTAATGGAGTGCGTCACCATTGCCTACTGGTGCTGCATTCAGGTCCTATGGGAAAGATGGCAGTAGGTTTTCTGACCAAGACCTACAACCTGGAGGTAATCAAGTACTATGGTTGTTAAAAGAATGTAATTTTGGGGTCAAGAGGTATTTTGTTTTGGCAATATAACACAAACATTAGTGGGTTGACCGCTGACCACACAGTGTTTAAAGTAGGTTAATTTACATTTTGATAGACTCCATTAAGCCCATTGAGAAAATCTAGGATAAAAAGGCCTATTGGTGCTTTATTTTTATGTCACTTAAAAAGTGAAGCGTTCTTCAAGCTCTGCTATAATCAAATCAACTCAGATAGACTTGTTTTATTTTGAAAAACTTACAGTTTGGCCAAGTTTGGCCATGAGTGATATTTGGTAAGGTGAAGGAAGAAATTAAAGATATCCTATTCAGATTAACCTGGATGTTTCAGGGCCCCAACCATCAAACTGCTGTGTTTAAAATTCAGAGTGAATGTGAAATGTGATTTGTTTACAAATGCACAAATTTATCCTGGTATGTAAAACTGGACGCAACTTTCATGTCATTTCTCTCATGAGGAAATAGTACCATACAAAAAATAGAGATATTCAGCACTGAATAAATGGCTGACTGGTTTAGAAAATTGTTCTCTATAAATATCCTCTGACATTCATATTCACAATTTAAATTGCAAGCAGCATCTGACGCCAAACAATGGCACTGTCAGCAGGAACATTTAGTGGTTTGAGTGACCAAATGAATGAGTAAGATGATTTAAAACTTTATTTACAAAGTTGAAAAAAATCCATGATTTTATGTTTCCCAGCACAGCTGGTAGTGAGCAGACGGTGACCAAAGGCTATTTTAATTTTATCATAATCTGAAATTATCGACAAACACATATATTTTAAGTGTGTTAAAATGAGACAAGACATTACTTCAGCATTTGGTTGCTGCTCTGGTGGAGCGCCTAATAAGCTAACTTTAATTTGCTATGATTATGGAAGATCTCGTTGTAGTTGTATGTGTAATTTTGAGTGATTTTATGTTGAGTAAAAGTTGAGGATTGTATCTTTACACTTCTAATTTAAATCAAGACTAATTTTCAGCAGTGTAATCTGAAGTCTGCCCATTAAAACCACGTTACTTATTTAGTCTGTCAAGTTTTAGATGTATACAAAATCCACTTAAATGCTCATGGAACATCGGGGAATTGTCTCCTGTTGCTCTAGACACTGTCCAGAAAATAGAAATGTAGCTATGCTTGGACAGCAGTAACGCTCATTCACTGTGACTGCTGTACTGTAAACATAAAGAAAGAAGACATGTGTTCTGAGTTGGGACCCCTGGGGCCCTGGCAAGTGATCAACCAATGAAACCACAACAGAGAGGCCAGGCTGGGGTGTGTGTGTGTGTGTACACTTGTGTGTGAACTGGGGAGGGGGGGTGCATTGAGAGGGAAGCTTCTGTACCAGCAATTAATATTAGCACTTTACAGACTTCATATTGTGCTTTATAGGGAGCATGTGGGAGTAATTTAGATGCATGTACAGGTTCAGTTGTGAAAAAAAGGCTGGTCAGTAACTCCTGAGTGACCCCATGGACACCTCATTAAAAAAACTTTTTAGTATCTTCTCCATTCATGAAAAGTTTGTTGTAAAAACAGCAGTGTTCACACTGCAGGTAAATGTGGCCCTGGTTTGGTATTTTCCCTTGTGTATGAGAAACTCGAATAACTGTTAAATGTGGAAACTTCAATTTGTCTTGGTTCTGCAGTGGCATGGGAAAAAAAGACTGCGCTGTGATGGAGGTGTCTGACTGCGTAATCACTTTGGAATGTAATCTGGAATTTTGCCTCCGTGCCAAAAAGACACAAAACAAAACAAAACAAACAAACATGCCAAAAACAGCTCCAAGTGGTGTAACTGGTGTAAAATGTGATGAGTGAACAAAGAAAGGTAAACAGAAGTAATTCAATAGTCATAAACTTTGATGTATAACATGTTCATTTGAGATCCTGTCTGTCATCTGAACTGTGAGCTGTGTCCTTTTCACCAACTAATGTGTAAAATGCAAAAAAAGAGCGGTATTCCATGGAGCTATGGTATTTTATCCAGAGGTTGGCACTCAAGGAACCAAAAAACTGGTTTGGTTCTTAAGCCTGCTGGACACATAACCATGGCTGCCCCGTTCATACAGCTTTCCCCTCATCAGGTCATAGTCTTACATTTGCAGAAGATAGTGGTATACTCATATGTTATTAAACCTTGTGGAGTGCTGGTTTGATTGAAAAGACTTTTCAGTTTTAAGCCAACAAGTGACAGGTGGAGGGGGCAGGTCTGTACCCCCACAACTACCATGGCTACTACAAATTTAGCTCAACTACTGCAGTACTGGTAGTTAGCAGGATGTAAAAAACAGATGGTACTGGAAAGAGCTACACTGATTTTTCCCTCAACCCCCGCCCCCCCCCAAACGGGTG